AGTGGGGTAAGCTTGCCCCCACAACTCTGCGGCCGTGGGGGCGGTGCCCCACAACGTTTCATGAGGCCAGGAACCGTTGGGCAGCTTGTCTTCCCCAAATTAGGGGTTGTGGGTCACAAAGGAAGAAAGCATGTAAGTGAAAAATCCACCTATTTCATTGGCTCGGCAACTCATTTGGCAGATTAAAACCTTTACTCCAGGTTGCCAAAACGGTAGTTTCTTCACTCAGCTGAGACGGAATACCTCACTTTTTGAAAATATTTTCGTGTTTTTTTTTTTTTTGTTGTTGAAAAGGCCAAGGTCTGAAAAATAAGTGGCCTAAAACCGGTGAGAAAACTAGATTTGGGGGTACCCTAGGTTGATTTCTATTATGGTTCAGCCCCCCCCCCCCCCCAGTCTGGAAGAAGTTCCCGCGCCACTGTGATTACCTGTTTTGATCTGACCTTTCACCCGACCTGCTTCGCGTATCTCAGTCGATAGGTGATCCAGGAGCCGATTCAGAGGGAGAGGGGGTGCTCAACATCCCCCCTTCCGGCAAGGTATGTAAATCCAGGACTCAGGAGCCTCAACGGGGCGGGGGATATCTTCATAAACGTCTGGTACATAGCTGTTCTGTTTTATCATTTTGTTTAGACATTCGATGTACATAAATGCGGAATACATCAAGGAACCCAGACATTCGATAAATAGAAAAATGAGAATCATTTACTTGCCTGATAGGTCGGAACTCGGATGGGCAGCCTGACCTTAACCTGTGCTTGGTTTGACACCCGCGCATGACTGGGGTATATTCCATAACGCGAATGGCTGGGGGGGGGGAGGGGGAGACGGTACAGCAGAGCCTTCCCTCCTATCTCCGAAAGTACTGGTCCGATTTCCAATATTCAAGCGGGGTGTGGAAGCCCTGAAAAAACTGTCGAGCGAAACGTAATTTTATTGACTCGAGGTCACTGATGCTGTCACAGGTCAGGTCAAAGTGAAAGTTATTTACATACAATTAGGCATGATCAAACTTCGGGCTCTGTCCGCCGCCATATAAGTCACGTCACATCAAGTTTATATTTGGTTCATTCATAAATGTACGTAAAAGATACCCTGTGGGTAGGTACCGAGGCTGTACGCAGTCTCTCATGAAAGTACCGCGAATCGGTGCGGTGGATCCATCAAACCCGACCGAGGAAGGGCTGCTAAATTTGAGAATCGCCGAACCAATTCGCTGACTCATCCTGATCCATTTCACTGGCAATTGGCTCGCTGACTCAAACTTAGCAGCCCTTCCTCGGTTTGGATTGATGGATCGACCGCACCGATGCGCGATACTTTCAAGAGCGATTATTTGTACTCGATATGTTTCTTGTCAAAGCCAGGTCAGCTTAGGTCACAACTGTTGAAGGAAACTTTAGGTCCTGTACATATAGTTCATGCGACGGATGTTTCATGTTTTATTATTTATTTTGGACATATGATTCGAAAATAGTACCAATCGTCTGTACCGGCTGAAGCCACTTTCAGCAACTTATACATGTATCGGTCAGGTAAAAAAGGTCAAATTTTGAAAATGGAATGTTTTAACCAAAAAGGATCACGATGGTGCTACTTTTGTTTTGGTGTATGATATCTAGTGCACTGAAAATTGCATTTGAATTATTGGTGGTGAATAATTGACCACGGTAAGATGTTAAAGTGCATAACATAGCCGTTTTTCTCAGATATCGGGCTTGAACTCTCTAGAGTCTAGAGAAGTCATCTTTATGTGTTCTATCATACATGTACCGGTTTTTCGAGAAGTCAAAATTTTATAGGTCAAATAAAAATGAAAATAAATTAATATTATATAGGGGAAAGTGGGTGTATTGCGCCCTCCTAACCAATTGCGCGGCGCCCACCGCACGAATTCAACGGCTTGTTTATAATTTTGTGTTCGAATTCATTATTTTCGCCACTGGATAGTTCATTTTATGGCCCAAGCTCTCCGATGAAGTTAATCAGCACTCAGCAGGGCTCATTACGCCATCAAAGATATTACGCCGTTTTCTTAGCTTTTTTTGCAGTACCTATTTGAACCGTTGGCTATAAAAGCATGCGATACGTGTGTGATTTTCAGAGTGATATTTAGAAAGAATAACCCTTTTTCCATTATATTTCGCTGAAACAGTAAACTTCCTTCAGCATCTTCTATGATTAAGTATCTACGCTTTTATTAAAAAGTACCTCAATTTTAATTGCGCCGGGGGGGGGGGGGGCAAATAGAATCATGGTGTAGCTATTGTACTACGACAGTATGAATGCATCATTAACTGATTGCAATAAGGAAGGATTTTAATATCAGGCAGGGGAGCAGCCCGCTGTCGTCAGTCTGCAAATTATTTCTCTCGTCAAACTTATAATGCAGCTGCCATTTAGGCTACGAACTTGTGGTGTAATTGACAAAATACGGCATTTTCATCACGGACTCAGGCGTGAGAGGTGACAGCTATGATAAAAAGGTAAAAACTGATGTCAAAAAGTTGTTGAAACGATAAAAATAATTAATTTTGAGAGAAACGATTGAAAATTTAACCGTATATGCGCATACGTTCACATATATCATTCTAGTTGGTTACATTACACGTTTTCGTGGCACTTTTACAAGCATACGGACACATGTAAAGTTATCTACCTGGGCAAAAAACATCGCGATTTATATCTACATTTATTATTTATCCAGCCTGATTAACATTATAAATGTTTAAGTAGGCCGCAATGACATCTGCCGGGGTGTATGCATTCCGTCTCATTCGCTTAGCCATGTTAAAGTAGGGCGCAGTTGGGTTCTAATTGCGCCATCCCCCTGGCGCAATTTGCAGCAGTTGCTGGCAAATGCGCCCTTTTGCATGTTTCTGAAAAAGCAGCTGTCAGAAGCAAACGAAACATTCTTAATTGATCGGGAGGCTCTTAAATCGTAGCCAATGAGTTCCTCTTTGAAATGGTTACCAGTGCATGCTTATATCTCCAGCGGTTTTCTTACAATTAGCGTTTTTTCTTAGGCGGCGCAATTCACCCTCCGTCCCCTATGTATAATTTCAAAAATCCAAAACTTTAAAATTCCAGATTGCGTCTTGATAGCCATGTGCTTCCTGCATCATGGTATGCGAGTAAACTGGTGCTGGCTTGAAAACATGGCCCTTGAGAGTGATATCCGTAAACCCACGTTTTGCATCAAAATTGGCCGAACATTACGTCACTCTGACATCATTTCCGGCCGACCTATAGCAGGTCTTTTTATGTTGCCATTGTTGCCGAAGATACTAAAAGTTTCGTGTCGATGCGTGCCGTCCAGCAATTTGAAAGATATTGCGAAAATAACGGGAGTGAGGCTCTGCAAATCGGGCAGAACCTATTCCGCCCTCCTTATGATGTAGAAACATCAGAGCTTGACCTTTGACCTGACCTTGACCCGAAAGTTCACCTCAATCTTGAAATCTAAAGAAATATTTTGAGAAGTTCTTGTGGAGAGCCATCGAACGCTTCCTCGCGGAGCTCGATACGACTATTGGTTCTCGAGATAGCACGTGGGGGGGGGGGGAGGGCGGGGATATGACCCCTCCCCAGGCGCGGGCGTGGTTACGGAAATATCCCAGGCGCCGGTCTTTAGTTCGAGCCAAGAACTTTTAAAATAACTGCTAGACGTTGAGCCGTTCGAAAACGTCTGACGGACGATAAACAATTTGCTAAACGTCCAGCAGGCAGCTGTTTTATTAACTTACTTCTCCGGTCAAATGCTGAATGAAGGAATCGAGGTGAGCGATGTAGGAGAAACCGGAGAAAGAACCATTACCTGTACCCCGCTACTAACATATGTAGATTGCAACGCTCTGCGGGAGAGGGAATGAGCAGTGAACCTCCCCGTCAACTCTGCTCCTGGGGCTGGGACACCCAGCGAAACGTGGTAAACGGCCAGCAAATTTAGCAAAATGCTCAAAATCGTCAAGAAATTATCCCAGTCATTTTTGCGTCTGGTCACCAAAGGTCATCGAAGGTCAAATCTATTTCGATTTTCGACAGGCCTTGTCAAAGTTCGATGCTCTCTGACGAATCGGCGCGTAACTCGTAAACGAATAGAGAGAGCTACGGCGCCGCGGCAAGGAGCACTCGATAAGATTGTTCGTTATTGCTCTCGCTACTATGTCTGCGGCATCAAATTTGACCTAGATGAGGTCAACGAATAACGATTTAGTATTCAGAGGGAAAACTGTCAAAATTGTACATAACAAGCGTTAATTTTTAAAACAATCGTTTTCTCGGTGCAGCCACGGTGACTCGACTAGCCACTAGGTGCACCACGGTGACTGTCAATAGGTGCAGCTACGTCGACCACTTGCTTCCGTCACTTTCGCGAGTTTTGGTCACCTGACGTTGATTTGAAGTGCTCACATTTACAGATAAGATAAACTAAACTAATCATAGCAAAGCACGAAGCACATACGTTCAAAGATATTCGCGGAAACCGTATGCAATTTTATGTAGCCGTTTTGTTTTTACCAGGGTGAATCAGACGACGCAGACATTTTATTTAGACATTCCGACTGCTCCGGCCTCCGCCATCAGCGACAGAGAAACAAATAACCGAGGAAGAGGTCAATCAAAGCACCGCCGATAAAATGATTTAATCAATCTGGAAAAATACGTTAAAATACATCTACAGGCTAAAAAAGCATTTCTTCCCCTCCCGTTCAGTGTTCTGTCGGCCATTTTATGAAGTTTTTAACGGCATCGGGCATATGGTCAAAAGTTACTACGGGGGGGGGGGGGGGCAATATAAATCGGCAACCGGGAACACGTCACCATTCCGAGTTCTCAGCTCCCCCTTTCCCTGTTCCCAGCCCCTCCCCGTCCTCGAGCCACAACGGCCGGCCGCCTTTCGCGGGCAGGCTGTGTGAGCTGAGTAGACGACCCACACCAGCCGGCTTGTGTAATGGCTGCCAGAATATGTGGGGTCGTCTCCTGCACCCTGCCAAGCTCATCTGGGCTGGTTCCTTGGCGGGTGAGGACGTGCCTCCGCGTGTGTTGAAAGAATATTTGTCTTTTCAGGAGACATTCCAGCGTTGGGTGTTCAAAGTGCTCCAGAAATGTGGCTGTGTTGACCACTGACACTGTGTTGTGGATTCAAGCTCCTATAGAGAGCGGTCCTGGTTGAAACTTGAATGTGTCAACCTCGCAACTGAACTGAAGTCGACAAGGACCTGCGTTTCGTTCTGCAAGTGATTGTGAGTAAGAGCGATCGATCGATCGATCTTATGTGGTTTTCGCCACATATTTTTATATTGATTTATTTTTTTGTAGTTTCGGACCAGTATTGCCCGAAGGTTCGGGCGGTTCGGCTTCGTTTTGGGCTGGTAAAGGGATCAACATTTCAAATTTGGTCCTCCACAGCTCTCAGTAACTCAGTGAAAATGGAAAAATATCTGTCATGAGTGATGCATCAATGGTGATGGTGTAATTTGATTATTGTAATATTTTTTATTTGTGTAGCGTATTTATTTAAATCTGTGTGATCGTTGTCTAGTCTTCTAACTGTAACCGAGAGGCGAGAGACAAGTGGCTTTCATCGGTTTCATGTGTGCTGTTAAATATCGCTAGGTAGTGGCTTAGTTAGTATGTTTTATAACGCTAGCCGCTGGGTAGTGGCTTACTTAGACGGGCCGGAGCCATACCAACAGCTTTGAAATTTCAACATTACCGGTATGCGGCGGTATGGCGCTGTTAACATGTTATTGGTTTTGGCTTGGCATACTAATGCCATCAGCTTAAAACCATTTGAGTCCTACCATTGAATTTCAGAAACTTCCGTGGCTTCTTTAAAGTTTGAATTCAATACCTATGAAGTAAACTGGATTACATATAACAATAGATCTCAATTTCTGATTTTGTCCTCATTGATTCGATGCTGCCAGTCGCCGGAAGGCATCCTGGGCCTTCCGGCATCCGGCACAATCCTCGACAACTGCGAAAGTCTCAGTCGTGCTCTTATGGCAAAACATTTCAACCGTATTTATGAGGAAAAAAAAAAACGTAAATCTGGCGTAAATGTTACCAGACAGCAGTCAAACTTGTGAATTTAACTGAATATTTATTTTCAATGGTTTTAACAATGTTCGTTAGAATTGTGTGTTTTCTACTGAAAAATATATGATTTATTTAGAAAGGAAAGCATTTTGTGAGTTCACTTTGTGCTGTTAAACTTTCGCGAAAACCTCTAATCCGTCTTCGAGCAATATAAGGATTCTCTTGTGGGTGATATTCTATTTGCTAAGATCCGGAACATTTCGACGGAGCTATGAGCTGGATATTGCGCTGCTAACCATTGGGTACCCTGGTTCTGCCGTGCTGTTTTGGGCAAACCTTCTAGGCCTTGGCTTTGCAGGTGTACGGCTTTTTATATTTTTAACCTTCTGCGCACTATGCAGAGATACCGACAGGGGACGTTTTGTTTCAGATTAATCGATGCCAGCAGAACTGCGGGAATGAACAGAACACCTTACTACACTCATGTGTACAGGTGAGATAAGGTTTGGGCTGGGAAGTAACAGTCAACTTATCTACATTGGAAGTGGAGACAAAGGGAGCATTTGTAATTAATTTGAGTGTCACAAGTCGTTCTGCTAGTTTCCATTGTATTAATTTGTGTATTTAGTTGCCTTCACTTAATCCATCATGCCCGTTCCTTGCGATGATTATTTTTTTTTTTATTTTCTCTCGATGTGACCGCTGGAGAGGCGTTCCGTTGCTCGCAGGCTGCCCTGATTCGTCAGTAGATTTGCGCTCCCCATTCCCCGGTCTCATAAGATCACGGAGTTGACACGTGGTCGCTGTTATCCGAGTGGCCATCTGGTCTGACCAAGCACACAACCTCAGTGACCTCATGCGGCTATCGATGCTACTCGAATACAAGCCACAAAACTACCAGTGGTGATACTCAACTTTTGAAGAGCATGCTTGCGTCAGTGATTGGGGCCATGCTTTATTTGCATTTACTGAATAATTTATCCAAGGCAAGATGACTCGACATGTTTTTCGTTGTCGAGATATGCTGATGCACGCTTGACCACTTCCGGATTACATGTATGCATTATGAATGCACAACAATGTCCCATACGCCAGTCCCGGAAACGCCACTAGCAATCGCCGTGCTGCGGGCATGTGTCGCGGTATCAGTACGTTGAGATTACGTTCGGCCCGACGGCGTGACGAGGAGCAGGCCGACCCCGGCCGGCCGGCCGGCCGACCCATGTGCGGCCCAGCCGGCCGGCCGCTGCCGCTGCCGCGCGCCGCGCCATCGATTCACCGCTGCCCTCGCCCCCGGCGCCCGGCCCCGCGCCGGCCGGCCGGCAAATCGTTACGGGGCTGTGTTTGCCGGCAGCGCAGTCGCCAGGCGGCCGAGTTGTGCACGCCGCCTGACGTGGCAGTCTCGGTGGAGTCATGGGTACTGGGGTGATCGTTGAGCATGGAACTCACCCGGAGGAAATTGATATCGTTTTAGTCAGCAGCTAAAAATGAAGGAGCGTTCATGGGTCAGCTACAATTGTAGCCTGAGTCATTAGAGACGGCGTCGATGGCCTAAGCGCCATAAACCTTAATTGTCATCATGAGCTCGTATCTCACGTTGTGGTTTGAATCGACGACGTTTTGCCGGTTCGTTATCCGTTTCCCTGCCCTTTCCATTCACTTCACTTATTTACTTTGTCATTACCCTACTATTAACGTTTTACTTTGTTGCGCATTTTTGTATTTGATTTGTGACGATGCCAGAAATCCCACGCCAGCAAGGGCTGAGACATCCGCTTCGTATTCACTCACTGATGTAGGTAGCTGAAATGATGAACTGAGGTTTCACTGCTGACTTCGCCCATGACCAGTGACGCGCCATGACCTCTGACCTTTTACCAGTGACTCGCCGTGACCCGTGACCTGTGCTGTTCGCAGACCGCCCGGCCATGATTCGGCAGCGTACCCGGCGGCGTCGGCGGCTGCTGCTGCCGCGGCCGCCTCTCGGCTGGGCACCTACAGCCTGCCGGGCGGCGCGTTCCACGCCGCCTGGCAGGCCGGCCTGCCGTACCCCGTGCGTCCCGCTGCGGTGAGTTCAGAGGCGCGCGTGCACGACCGTGCAGTCCCGGGCAGGTGTCCCCGTGGGGAGGGACCTTGGCCGCTGAACGGTGTCAGCCGGCCGGCTGACTGGGATCTGCAATCTGCATCCGTCTCCCCTGGCCGTGGGAGCGGCGCCGGCCTTGGTGTGATGCGGCCGCCGCCCGGGCCGCGTGGCTGACGCCTGACGGTTCTGACTAGCCGGGCCCAGAGGGGAGGGCAGGGGCAGGGGGACACTTGATCGGCCGGCTGCCGTGGCGGTGTTGGCAGCCAGGCGCGTTACGTCACACAGGCGGCCGGCCGGGCGCCGACACGTGCTCCGGGGGGGGGGGGGGGGGAGGGGGGGGGGCTGTCCGTACAGAGGGGAGACGGCTGCTCCGTACGCGCCGGGAGGCTCAGCGCCAACTTGGCTCGCAAAGCAGCATCAAATGACCATTTAGTTGAGAGTGCTGTGTTACAGCGCTCAATGGTTTTTGCTTCACGTTGTTCTATTAACGTTTTTGGCTTTGAAGGATCCATAATAATAGAGTTGTTATAGCAATGATAAAGAACAATGAGACATCCGTTTCATGCTTGTCAAACCCAGCTTTGATGTCTGTGATGTCCGTCCCACTTCATTTGTTTGATCTGTATATTCGGATCAGTATGTAATAAATCCTGCCATAGCGAAACCCAGAAAATAGCTTAATAGTGAACTCAGAGTAAATGATAAAATAATACTGATAGCTCTAACTTGTTTAAGTAGAAACTAGTTAAATGTTTTACGAACGTCGAAAATGAAATCCGGCATCATGCTGGCTGTAATTTTAGAAGTTTGGCTGTTATCCCGTTTCGATTATTGCAGGATGTGGTGCATGTTTGCATTGTTGTGCCGTTTTTAATACCGTTTCGTACCATTTACTCACACTGCATATTAATTTTTTAACGGAATGCTGTGAATGCTCGATAATAATTACACAGACGGAGTAGCAGCGTGTTCGCCAGACACTGCGGTGTACTCGCTGTCAGCGGCGACGCTCTGTGATTCATTTCAGCCTTCCGTGGGTTCCTTTTCATGCTCGGCGGTCAGTAGCGCGTCTGGACAGACCCCTGACGGTGTCCTGTCGGTCTGCGAGCCAGACGACGCAGGCCTTTCCGCCGGAACTGGCGCGGCCACCCGGCCTAACGGACATGGACAGATGGGCACTGCTGCGTCTCCGGGGCCGGTGTTTGCACAGATGCGGGTGACGTCAATGGGACGATCCTACCGGACTCGCACTCACGACATCGGCTGGGCTGGTCTCGTCGCCTCCATAGCTCCACAGTGGTGTTTGTCCATGTCCCTGTCTGTATAGTTGTCTGTCTGGCTCTGGTACAGCTTTGGAAGTCGTCCCATCGTGTTCCTGTCCCCTTCCCCGTTCCTGTTGGTTGTTGTCCGGCACTGCAGGCTGCAGCGGCGGTGTCTGCACCGTGTTGGGATTGATGACCAGTGTAGGCGCGGCCTGACCCGCCGGCCAGTTTCGGCTGGTGTGTCTGCCAGCGGCCGGATCTGAACCTGACCCTCCCCGCCGCGCCGGTCGGTGGTGTTATCTCCGAGTCCGACCATGTTTATCCATCGGGCGAGTCGTGATGGGCTCGGTCCGTCTGCACCGGACTGCAGCACCGTCCCAGCTTCAGTGCACTCTAATACGGACGACCCCCCTCGACATCAAATAAACACACTCAGGCGAGGGACGATGGACACCGGCCAGCGGTCGTACTATCACCGAATTATGCGGTCTGCCGGTAGTTTCCATTCGGTCGTTGGCGGTGTTTGTGGCTCTGGCCAGTCAGCTGTCGCTGTGAACAGTTTCCCAGGCCGGCGGCTGTGGTGTGTCACGCTCCACTCGCCTCCACTGGGCGCCCTGGTGGGCCCCGGCGGCACTCCCCGTTCGTGGGTAGTCCGATTCAAATTGAAGGAGGAAAATGGGTGGACAACGGACGTTGCACTGGACAGTTTATATTGCGTCAGGTTTCCAGCAATGTCTTCTTTCAAGTGCAGTAGACTGCAGAATGATGTTCCATCCCTTACAAGCCATCCGTTGAGTGGAAAGCCAGGTTGGGACGCTTATCACGCTGACGCAATTGAGCAAGTCAACAGTAATCAAAGGGTCACGTGGTCCAATGTTCAGTGTTCATGGACTGGCTGTGTCACTCAACCGTTGTGATGCGGCACAGCTTACCACCCCAGACAACTCATTGCCCGGAAGAAATGGGCCGTCGTTTTGTAATCAACTGCACAGCGATATTGCCATGAGTGTTGTTGTGCCACAATGCGTTGCCAAGAGACGCTGATGGTTGTGTCGTAAAGATTCAGCACAGCATGTAAGATTGCATTCTTTTCGTGGATTTCATTTGTTCTATCCTATTCCTTTTCACTGGAGCGCTCAGTAAATGAATCGTTTGATCCAATGAGAGCCGTAACGTTTCATGTTCCGCATGGTCGCAGTCGGATGGCAGGTCTCATCAGGCTCTGACGTCCGGCATCATTGGATCTCCGCCGTTCAATAGAGCCGGACGGAGACGGCGCCGGTCACCGTCAGACGAGGAATGAGACTGTATAGGGAGAGGTGACAGTCTGGGTGTCTGCGCCGCGCCCGAAACACCGTATCAGCCCGTACCCATCACCCGGCACCGGCCGCCGCCTCTTCCTGACCGCGCCGCAGAAAAATGGCGCCGCCGATGAAACCGCGCGAAGGCCGGCGCTTTCCCGCGCGAGCCACTGAACGGGGCCACTCTGTTGGCGGTGGGTCGGCCGGCACGCGAGCGGCTGGGACCGGCTGAGGACGACTGAGGGCAACTGCTCGTCGGCCCGACCCGGCGGCGGGTGCGACTGCACTCGTAGGGAAGGCCGCGCGCCGCGCACGTCTGGACTCTGTCGCCGTTTGGCACGGCTCCCGCGGCGGTGTTTGTGTCTACCCGGGCAAATAGTAGGTATAACAATCTAAACCGCACCAGAGTGTCGTCAGTAGTCACATCCCTCCGGTGCCCTTGTCAGTCCGTGTGTGCCGGTACATGTATGCGGCGCGGCTGCCGCCGTGTCTGCCGGTGCATCTAAGTACACGGCGGCGCTCGGGGCGGCCGGTCGTCGGCCGGGAGGCTGCAGCCGGTGCCGGGGCGGGGGCGGGGGCGGCGGCGGCGGCCGAGAGCGGCGCTCCATCGATCGGTCCGGGCGGCGTGGCGGCCGCTCAGCTGAGTCCCGGCGGCCTCCGGCGCTCCGGCGGTGCAGCGGATACAGCCTCCTCCTCCCGGAGAGTAGAGCACACCGCGGCAGCGTGCTCCGGGTTGGATAGAACGGAGCCTGCCTTTGCTTACTTTACCTTGTCGTTTGCTGATCATAATTATAAATACGGCCGGCTCTGGTATGCCATTCCAGTTGACGCAATCGATACTCGTGGCAACGACCGACGGACAGTATGCCACAGGCGCGCACCACCACAATGTCGCATGGTGCTGAGTCATCAGCTCTGCTCCTTAGAGTAGCGAACGCTGACTCATCCAACGCTTCAGTGACGTGTCGCAGCTTCATTAGACATACTTACGAAGAGCTTATATCGCCGGAGCGCTAAAAGTTGGGATACGACTTCTGGTTTCTTTAACTTGGTGGCCGGGTCAGCCTTGGTGACTGCTGTCAATGTTTGTCACATTGACATTCTGGGGAACCCTGGTAAAACGCTTGCAGTCGACCGCAGCAGTTCAGCTTACGTCATGACCTCGTTGGACAGACTAATGTGGTCGTCTGTTATGAGTGTCTTCCAAGTTCCGAGTCGTATGGCCGACATGTTTTCTCCGTCGTGATAACGTCAACCTCGTTTGTGTTTACTTTTAGCTCAGCCAAATTAATGATCGAATAAGCTTCCGCTTTGGTCTGGAATGTGTTACCAATAAGCAGTCTGTTGTGCGGATATTTTGGAGAGCCGGTTTTCCGTCGCGCCGCTGCCGTCCGTTGGATGCAGCAGTGTGGCAGCCCGGCGCTCCCCGTCCCTGCCCGGTGCGATGGCGGTTCATGGCGCCATATATGTCGGTAAATCTCTGAATGCCCACTTGGAGTGGCGCGGGACCGGCTGCGGCTCGGCTGCAGGCTGCTAATCAATGCATGCCGGCAGTGCAGCGGTGATGTTTGATTGCACGAGGCGGCGCTGCAGGCGGGGAGGGGCCGGTCATGGCCGCTACGGACAGGGACCGTACTGTGTGAGCGGACCATGCGGACCATGGGGACCGGGCGGCCGCGGACGGTCCCGCGTTGGTGCCGCTCCGCCGAGCACATCACTCTCTCCCCGGCTGACCGGTCGGCCGGCGGTCCCGACCGCGCAGTGGGACGGGATCGGAAGCCTCTGAGTCCCCAGGGTCCACCGGTCTTCGCGGCACCTCCCGCGCCGCAACAGGACGCGATGGGCTGCCGAAATTGGTATGCCACTCGCCGTTGGTTTGTGCACGAGCCGGACACCGGTGCCCCCTGAAAGCGTCTGCAGCTATGTAGAACGGGCCGCGAGGAGCTGCAGTCGCGGACTTTGCACGCTTCATTGCCTACCCAGCACTTGACATACTGAGCAGCCTTATTATTTTTGTTATTTATGACGCTGAAAAGTCACGATGAAACCGGTTATGAGGGTTACCTTTTACTTGTGTTTCATGTTGGTAGTGCTGGCAGGCTGGTTTCGATACAACTTACTACCCTATTTGTCGGGATTGCTACCCGCTATGTGGAGTAATTGACTACTAGATTTAAGAAGATAACACAAGCATTGTTGGCCGATTATATGGAACGTCAAGGAAGTTGCCACGAAATGTCACCACATTCACATGACACTTGACTGAGCGAGGTTTTTGTTGGACTGAGTCTGTCTGCCGTGACATGTTTCCCGTCGAACTCTTTCCCACACATTGATCGTTCGGCGTCGGCTGCGCTTTTCCTTTTGAACGCCGCTCTGTTGAATCTGCACGGCCGTTCCTGTTTCCTTTGGCGTGTCCTTG